ATTATCTTAAAGCAGGATACATTGTAGTTTTTTCTTATTTCACACATGCAGCAATCATGAAAGGGCATGAAGCGCTCAAAGCTACCCAAGAAACTTCATGGATGGGCAGAGGTTTGAATATTATTCAAAAATCAAAAGCTTCCTCTATTGAAAATTAATTCTGCTGAAATCAGGATTGCATGTATTACCTTTGTGAGCATGCGCATGGCACCAATGTGCGCAGTAATCTGAGACGCTGGGGCGATGCAGGGGTGACTTGGCTCACATGCTGACAGACGGGTCTGTGGGCCCACTGTGGCACACGTGCCGTAGGTTTGCCACCACTGTCCTAACCCTACCCTGGTGCACACCCCTAACCTTAATATAGGGTGAACATTCCATTAAAAAGAGGACAATTTTGAAAAAGCCTTCCTTGAGTAGCTTTTTCTGCACTGCTTATCATTTCTGCCCATTCTAAACACATTCCCACCATCAAAATCATGCCAGGACAACTCGTTCTTCTAACCGTAACCCGGTGATGGTGAATCTTTTAGAGACCAAGTGCCCAAACTGCAACCCAAAACCCACTTATTTATCGCAAAGTGCCAACACTGCAATAACACCTGAAAACAGCCAGTCCAAGCATCTCTCTCTCTCTCTCTCTCGCTCTCTCTTTGGCAGTGCACTGACCAGCCATGAGAAAGCTCAGGCGAGTCACAGCTAATGTGCTGCGGCTTGTGATGTCCATGCCTGGCACCACTACTCCTTTCTGAGCATGCGCATGGCCCCTATGTGCGCTGTTATCCAATGCTCGGCTGCTGGGGTGATGCTGGGGCAACTTGGCTTGTGTGCCGACAGAGAGGGCTCTGCGTGGCCACTGCGGCACGCATGCCATAAGTTCGCCACCACTGCTCTATAGAATGCAGAAGCATTGTTTATAATAACATAAAAACAGTCTGTTCGGATTCCAAATATGCCCTTCATCAGTTAATACGTTCACTGAGCAGACACAGAGCTCACCTGCTCATAGTCATCCACACAATATAAATGTTTTGCACTTCTTTTTAAAGTAATTTCTATTTATTGAAGCACAAGCACATGGTATGTTCAGTTTAAACAGCTCTTTTCTTCTTATTGGTACTGATGCAATGGCCTATCTTTTTGCACAAGTGACCATCACACTTTAAGCCATCTCCTACCATTTGAAGACCTGCCTCTCCATTTGGCGGGCCCCTCCCATTTTTGGTATGCTAAGAAGGATTAGTTGCCTTGCCAAGTATGACTACCCAAGGACAACAATCTACCCTAAGTCTATTTGGCAGCCCCAGAGGGTAGGGTAGGATGGGTTTGGTTGGGTTCAGTAGGGTTGTGATAATGGAAGGAAGAGTTTTAAGCCTATTTTTACTGTGCTCTCTCTCTGTTTTCTTTGAATGGGTGGGTCACTACCTAAGCCTTTTGTCAGGGTCTGATGAAACTAGTTTCCCCTGTTGACTCATCTAGATTATTTATATGGCTTTGTTTGTCCTGCTGCAGTCTGTTTTAATCTTTAATTATGTTTTTAAACTGGCTGCCATTTTTGTTCTTATCTGATTTTATTGTGTTATTTTACTTGTCTGCAGTTTAGTTGTCTTTGCATGTGGAAGTTGTTGTTACTGCTGTTATTGTTAACACCCTGGGTTTGCAGAGCGAGGGGGGGGGCGGTTAACAGAAAGGAAAGTTATACATGGAACAAATAAATTATAAATAATTCTGCATATCCTACAGACCCAAAGGACAGTCCAATGAGAAGGTGTACTGTGCATGACCTACTTAAATGAATGGGAATATTGTAAAGGTACTACCTTATTCACATTTATCTCAATGGGGAATGATCAGAACTTCCCAGAGAATTCTGTCCATTATGATTGATTGAAGTTTCTAATTTTCCTGTGCTCAACACAGGAATATAGTGATTATGTACTGCCTACATCCAGTCAGGGGACATAGTGACATTTCTCATTGTTTTGACATCACTAGAAAGAATGATCCATATAGTTTGCTCACTTTGCTGTGCATCATATTGATTTGGAAGCAACCATGCAGGAGATGAAACTAGTAAGCAAGAGCGTTTTATTTTAAATGAGTCTGCCCCACTAATTAATGTTAAATAACTGTGCTATTCAGTCAGTGTTTAAATAGACTTGTATAAAATGAATTAGTGCTCTTACATTCTCCACAGTTATTCCTTTCTGTATTATTAATTAAAAACTGCCCTTGGATCTAAAAAAAATCAAGAGGTTAGGACACTTATGCACCAAAGAACATGAATATGGGTATTGCTAAGGCACCTGCCTTAATTTCTGTCCATGTAAACTATAAAGATGTTCTACAGTCTAACATTTTGTGCTCACTTAAAACTTGATGGTCTGTATTATTATGTGATGTTGCTGCGATTATATTGTTTTTCAAACTGTACTTTAAATGAGATTTTACTATCTATATGGAAACCATTTAGGAATTTTTCTTAATATTTAATAGTATAGAGATAATACAAATTAAAACAAAATACACGAATAACTTGTATTAGGATTTACTCATCTAACTGTCCCCATAGTTCTGTTCTAACTCTTACTTCCCCTTTTCTCTGATATGCATGGTAAATCTTTGGGCAGCTTCTTTGGCCTGTAGATTAGCACTAATTTCTTACTGGAATAGGCAAGTAAGGGTTTGTTTTTTATTTTTTTGCACTAGCGACAAGTGTTTGTGTGCATCTGTGTGTCCTAGTTAGGAGCCTGAAGTGTCCTGGTTTTTTTCTCTCTTTTTCAGTGCCTTATGCCCTTAACTCATTAGAGCATTTGAACATTCAGCAGATGTTTGCCAAGTAGTGAGGGTATGTGCAAAGAAAATGAAGGTGCGACAAGAGAAATAGTAATGCCATAAAACAAAGGACTCCCGCACCCAACCAGTCTTTCAATGATGTCTGACTTTTTTCCGAACAGATAATGAAGTTGAGGATGATTTCTATACTTTCCAATAGCAGAAGTTCTCTGATATGCAGATAAACACTGCTATGACAATCCAATGAGGAGGTTATTTCATCTGTCGATTATTATCTTGCCATGCATCTCAGTGTGTCCAGGTACAGAGGCACACTAAAGTCTCATGAGCCAGTTCCTTAGCTAAGTGGCTCTAGGAACTATTGGACTCTGCCTTTAGGACTCATCTCTGCTATGCTGGCAGAAATACATGAGGGAATATGGCTGGCAAATTGAAATATCATATGTGGAGATGTTAGAAGTTGTGGACATTTCCATCTGCCTGTGGACATGTTGGATGTATAAGGCCAATATTGATCAAAAGATACTGATCTCTTGGCTCAATGTACAACATTGAGTGAACGATAAACTGTGTTTTCCTTTATGCAAGTTCTTCTCCCTGACTTTAGTTTGAAATTGTTTTAAACAATAAAGCTTTGCTTATGTATCTATGAACTTGAATTCCTACTCAGTTTGTGTACCTACCTACAACATAAACAACGAACAGCTTACCAAAATAACATAGGCAAGACAAGGCATGCAAGTGTATATACCTTTAAACATTGCTATGCAAGTCTGGAAAGCAGCTATTTTAAGTCAACACTTCCTTTTATATTTAGAGCACTCTGCAGTATAAATTGTTTAGTACTTTTTCCCTCTTAGATGGGAGTATTATGGAGCTTGCAGCATTTAACACGCTGCGCTGCAATAGAAAACTGACATTAAGGGGAACAATCCACTTCAAAATCAAAGTGCAATTCCTTGTTGGATATGTTTACTCTCCCCAGGGGTGCGATGGCTTTCAGCTGTTTTTTTTTTTCTTTTCTTTCCTTTCCTTCCCAATTGCCTGTACATCCTGCATCTGAACAGCAGCAGAGAGCTAGTATTGCCACAGCCAACTATCTGCAGTGTAGTCAGAGAAACAGGAAACAAAAATAGCGTCCAGGTTTTCTGTGCGTGGGTGAAGCAGAAGCCGCGTTATGAGTAGACGCTTCCACAGAATTATTTTAGAACTAGCTGAGCTCTATTCCCCTTTTGCTCTCTTGTCAAAAAACAACCCACCGTCCACTCAAGAGAGAGAACGAGAAGACATAAAACATCATTAAAATGCTAATCTCTCTCCATCACATACATAAACACACGGAGAGATAAAGGGAGCGGGAGAGACACGGGCTTGGCACTGGAACAAGGTAATCGCTTCTGAGGGATCACACTGGAGACCTGCAGCTTTGAAAGAGAGAGACTGGCCAGCTGGGTTAGCCGAGGTATTTTTAAATGCATTCATGCAGGCTCCAATCATCCGGCTCTGCTTGACCTATTTTTGGCTCAGGCCAGCCATTGTTCTATTTCTGTTGCCTGCGGGCCATGCTGTTGTTGATCTGTATGCAAATGAACTCTCACTGGCAGCAGCCAACTTTGTGGAGAGAGGCAGGCGGAGGAGGAGGAGGAGGAGGAAGAAGAATAGGGCTCAGAGATAGAAACACTTGCCAGGGCTAGGAGTAATTGAAACTTAAACCCCCGGGGAGTCAAGTCCCTAGAAACTGTGCTTGCTTGTTTTTGTTTTTAAGTGGTTTTATTTCTCTCACTCGATTCCCAAGAATAACCTGAGGGAGAGAAATATATCTCCTCCACCTGCTCTTTGCTTCCACAACACAGCTAACTCAATCAGAGGTGCATAATAAAGTATGTGTGCATAATATGTCTCAATTATTATTATTGTGTTGTGTTCTTCTGCATCAGAGTGAAATTAGACTTGAATTACCATTACAGTCGGTGCTTTAGAGCTCTCTTTGAATTTCATATATATCCATTTTGGTAATGAGTGTCATTATCATTGTTGTTGTTTTAAAAAATCTCCGCTGTTCCTAAGAAGAAGGAAACAAGACCAGAAGGGGTCGTTTCCTATGCCTCGGAACGGGTGGTGATGAATCTTTCATATAGCTGAAGTGCAGACTGATTGGAATATGCTGCAGACAATTTACGAGAGTGAATCGTGTTTTTCCTCAGATGGAGTTTCGGGACGTGACCAGCTCTTGGCTCAGCAAAGAATGCACAGTATGATCAGCTCAGGTAAGAGACTCTTCACAGGCTCAGCTTCGGGATTTGGTATATAATTTGCCTATAAAGACTCTTATGTAAAACATGGCATATTTTAGAATTTGCTGTTGAGCTATCATCAGTTTCTTGTTCAGTGAAATGCTGTTCGACAAGATTACTTCTGATATATCTTTCTGCTGCTATTTTGTGTTCTCTTGCTCTTCTGCAATGCTGGTTTCCGAATAGAAGAAAGTAATTTGAATGTCCCTTTCTGAATTTCCCTGTCTTCTTTACAGTGGGTTTAGAGGATGGTTACAGAACTAAAATATGACACCTACTTGCAAGCTTATCTGTTTGAAAGTAAGCTTTACCGGCTGCACTCCTGAGCATACTAAGAGTCATCCAAACCAGTGAGGCTTACTGATTAGGTGCCTGGATGCACTGCTACAATTGTGGATGGTATGCTTCTTTGAGTCCCCCTTTGGATGGAATTTACCGATACAGAGTAGTATAGAGTCAGAATGTATACATTATTTCATACCATTGCAATGTATTTTCATTGTCTCCTGTAATGCTCACCTCCAAAGATCTCACATAATGAAATATTTCATCTTGCATGCTTTTCTGATTGCCTAGGGACACTTGTAAGATTATTCCAAATGTTTCTGTTTTTATCTGATTTGTAGTTCATTTGCATTACTTGAAACATATTTCTGAATATTGAAGTGAAAGTGAGATGTGATGACTCCCTGTAAGTGACTAGAGAACAGGTGTCTTAAAGATGCAATTACAGAATTTTTGAAACTACTTGCAGGTTTTAAAGGCTCTCTTGTGATAACTTTTATGATAACTGCTTTGTATTGCTTGTGGAAATCACAGAATCAGATGCAGGCTTGGAAGAGTTACACACTGATAAAAATATTTAATCATGGTTTCCAGAATACAAGACACATTACCTGTTTGGTCCTAATACACAGGGTTGCTTTTGAAGTCAGAATGAAGCTATCCATTTCATACCTTAGGTCCAATTCTTTTCCTCCCTTGACTTTCTTTCTTTCTTTTTTCTTTCTTTTTCTTTCCTTATTTTCTTTTTGGTATCTGAAACGTCTGAGAAATTGTACACTCTCATCAAAAACTTCATCTGTAATTTTCTGAGAGGGGAAAAAGATTGATGAAAATGTGTCCATTACTATGTCAATGCTCCCAGAATACTTGTTGAATGCTGTATAGTTTTAAAAGGTATGTTAAACCTGTAGACAGGGCAAATTCTCTTGAAGGTAAAAGTAAGCTAGAAATGTAATCAGATGTATGTTCAAATGTGAAGTTTAAAGTAGAACTGTAGAAGCAGGATCCACTGGGAAGTTTGAAAGATAGACACTTCCATTTTCTATCCCATGTTCTGTCTCTCAAACTGTAATATATAGAATCCACATTTTCTGAACAAACATGAGTTCCTCACCTTTGTACAATAGGTAGTTAACCACACTTGAAGCTTTTCACATAAGGATATCTCTGTGCAAGGAAAAGGTCATGTATGTTGGATTTTTGCATGCTGTGCTTCTGTTAAAGGCATAGGACTAATAGACATATGCAAAGTGAGGACAAGGCAGCAGCCTCTGCTGGTCCCAGAACAGAAGGTCTGCGTGTTAGTATGGACAAGAAGGGTGCCTGGATAATTGAGGTTTTAAGAACACTGGGTTCAGATTGGTCATCCCTCCCTTTCAAAAGTTGCCAACCTTTCTATGTGAAAGCTACAATTCTGTGCCCACTTACCTGGAAGTTAGTCACATTGAATGACCTTCTGAAAGGACATTTATAGATTTCCAGATATATAGAAGGGGGGCTTTCAGGAGGTGCAGCACCATACATGAAAAGAAGCAGCTAAATATTTTTCTTTTGTACAGTGGTTAAAGATAACATGAGCTTGGCTACTGCAGCTTGTGTGTGCAGTCTACTTGAGACAGACATTGTGTTAAAGCCTCAGGCTGGCATTTCTAGGTCTTGATAGCCAACCCATTGCTCATTTTCTGAGAAATCTTTCTGGGAAATGTCCCATTGTGAAATTTCTAATAGCCTATTGAACAATGTGTTTTAAGGGGCAGAAGGGGGAAGAAAAGGGAAACAGACTGAAAGAATAAGAAGGGTCAAGAAAGGCAGGTCCTGGAGGGCAAGTGATGAAGAGAAGACACACACAGTATGTTAGAGGGACAGGATGGCATTAAGAGGAGGGCAACAAGAATAAAACCCAATAAGGTGATGGGCTTTGGGGGTTGTTGGGGTAGGGACTGCTACTGCTCTCCTTTTTGCTCACACAGCTGAGCTGGAACCTCAAGCCTTACGCTGGGGGAGCTCGCAAGAGAAGAAAGCATGTGGAGGAGGTTGCCTGGCAACTGCCAAAATGCTTGCCTGCTGTTTCTCAGTAACCGCATGCTTTCTGCTTTTCCTGTTTGCCCTGGAAGAGGTCCAGGCAGACATGGGGATGAAGGCCCCAGTCTGCTTTGTATAGCACCTGTACCTTCGGCATGCAAATCCCATCTTGGGATAAGTTAATCACAAGGGATTTCCATGGACTCTGGAATATTGCTGGTGCCTTTCTGACTGTAGGTGCCAGCAGTTAAATGCCACATTTTATTATAAAACACTGGAGGGCTACCTAATGGATCTTTAATGCCCGCAGATGTAACTTAAATTTTTCTGTGTCCCTTATGTTCTTTCTGTATACTCTGGGTATAGTGAGTAAGCATTGATGATGTTTTTACTAGCCCTGCTCATGTGCACCTTGAAAAACATCCTGACCCTCAGCCATTAAGCTGATGGAAGTGTTCCCCATCATATTATATCCATGCCAGGGAAAGCTTTGCATGATAATTTTCTGCATGCCAGGCTGCTTTCAACCTAAGCTATGTGAAGCAAGCCAATAAAATGTGAGTAGCTGTAATGGAGAATGCATCAGCCATCCAACATAGCGTTCATTTGCTTTTTGTTTTCATTGTCATCTATCATCATAACCACGTTTTGTTGAATCAGTGAGCCTTCCTTCTACAGAAGCATGTGCAGGATTGCAGGACAAAGAACTCAGGTTGTTTCCTTCTTTGCACGAGTAACTTCATGACTGTTGGTTCCATTACTTTGTAGTATGCTTCGTATAAGCCATTTGAGGAGGGACCATAATCCAGGGGAAAGGTACTTGATACGCATGCAAATGTTTGTGGATTCAGTCCCTTGTTCCTTCAGGTAGGACTGGGAAAGACATTTGGTTGAAATCCTGCCAGGCAGTGCAGACAATACTGTATAAGATGGGCCAATGTGCCATCTCGGTATCAGATGGCTTCCTGTGTAGATATAATACAAGTTGCCATTTATATTATCCGTCATGGCAGGCATGGATGGAGGTGATTAATACAAAGATAGCAAGTATCACAACTGTTTTAATTAGGTCCAGTTTTATGGAAAGTGTTTTAGATGTGAAAGCTATTGTATATTTGAGTTTTAGACTGTTTAAAATTTGTATTCTGGAATTGTATAGTTTGTTTTAGCATAATCCATGTTTTTATTCTATCTCTATTTCATTTCTGTACTGCCCAGCAACTGAAGCTTTATTGTTCTTTGAGAGATGGTTTGGAACTGCCTAGATAGCTTTGGTTATTGGGTGGTATAGAAATTCAATTAAGTACTAAATTCTAAGCATTGTTTGAGTCACAATGCCTTAAATAAATTGTGTAAGCAATCACAGCTCAGACCACTCAGTGTTAAAGAAATAGAAAAAAATGGATGCACTAGGCATTTGATACAAGTTTACAAACTACAAAATTCAGAGAAATGTCTAGGGCTTGTGAAATATTGCTGTCATTTGAATCAGCACTTTCAGAAGTCCCTTGCTTCCTCTGTTTGCTTCCTCTGTTTGCCAGCCTCTCAGTCTACAGAACCTATTATGAATAGGATGAACTGGATAGACACCAATCAAAAGTCAGATTATGAATACGGCATTCTAGACAAGTGCCAAATAAAGGCATCTATTTTCCTGGCTGATAATAAGACTGTGAGAACTATGCCAATACAATCTTTTCAAACATCATAATGTAGTGTTTTCCAGTAAGAGACCTTTTTAAAAAAAAAAATAAGTGTGTATTATTTTAGGTAATGAACTATTGAGAACAACCAAGAGAGCTTCCACTATTGTGTGGTATAAGAAGTACTAAATAAATAATAAATACATTTGTAGACACACTATAAAATTAACATTCTGATTTCTTTTAAAAACATTCCTTTCCTAATACTTTAAAAAGGCAACACCCAGTTCTGTCTCTCTCAAATCAACAGGACCTAAATGTATAGAAGGTGGATCTGGCTTGCTGGATCCAAACATAACATATGTAAGTAATACTGTGACTTAGCAGAGAGACAGATGTGGCTCTTACCAGTGCTCTAGGAAGAAGTAATCAGGATACAGTTTGAGCACTAATCCTTCTTTCTAACATACTTCAGTTATGCAAACATAAGTCAGTACCAAGTCTTCAAAGAGAGAACATTGGGTTTGTATGTTAGAGGAATAGCAAAGGTATAGGTATTGTTTTGTTTTTATCATGCTGATTGCTACATTTGTCCCCACACAAAGCTTCATGGGCATAAAGATCTATTCAGAGCTTTCTACCATTTGAAGAGAGGTTTGTGGTGGGTGGCCCATAGTCTTATGCCCCACTCCAGTTCTAGAAGGCTCCATACAGAGAGACTTGTCCAAGCTTTTTTGTGTGGGTTAGTTTAGTTTTGTCCTGTCACTGTTTTGCTGTGGCAGTTCGTGCCTGGTAGTGCTGTGCAGGTATATAGAAATGCTGTTTACTCTCCCACATTCAATTGTCACGGTATTCCAGCTTCTCTTACAAGAAATGGATAAGATGCTGAGTTCATTTCCTCTGGGAATGATTGGCAGGAGACACACTTGTTGTCCTGCAACCATCTAGAACAGAAAATGGATAATGGATTGCAATGGACATATGTTGCGAGAAATGGTGACTTTTGACTTATTTCTATGTATA